TAGAGATTGTAAATTTCGTCGTGAATTGTCAACACGAGTTGGTGTAATCGGTAAGGCGTGTGGATTACACCACAGAGACCCCGAGTTCGAGTCCCGCCGTAAACATGAAGTTTTTTAGTTGATGGAAGTTTTGTCGAACTTTCTGGAATTATTTGAGTGAAAGAAATGAAAAATTAAGGAGCGAGAAGGAGAATAAATAAAAATGAATAACGAAATTATTGGAAGGTTCTGGAGGCATGACGATCAAAAAGAATAACGAAATTGAATGTTCTAGAACCTGACCGGGGGTATATAAGCGGAACTGCGGCTCACCGCTGGCAGTTGAGTTCTAAGTCTAAAGCGATTCGGAAGAAAAGGAAGAAGTGGAAAAGAAGAAAAGTGAGTGAAATAGTGAAGTGCAGTGAAATAGTGAAGTGCAGTCAGTTAAGTGAGTTAAATCAGCGTGAACGGCAAAGTTGTGTCAGTCGGCCGGACTCTGCTGCAGAAGAACGCCGATAACTTAACTCCGTGGATGCTGTAACTTAAGTGCAATAGAAAGTCTGAAAACCGGTATTAGTGTTTCATTTCATCCAATCCCGTAACCCAAGCCCGCATATTCAGGAACGTGACGTCAGGCACGTAACAATAGTATAGATAAGGTCATGCTTCCAGACTCTGATTATGATATAATTAATCCCACAGTAATTGGTCAGACACTGGGGCCTAGGATACCATACTCCACGTAATTACTGTGATTCGAGAAACATAATAACTATATATACTAGACACACAGATCAAGAGCCTATTCAGATTTAGAGTTAAGTGCAATAATGTACACCCCGGCCAGAAGTAGGAGAAGGGACAAGATGGTTTTTAGTCAGTAAGAGTCTGCTACTCCCTTTCGCCCTGGGTTAGTAGCATTTTTATAAAATCGTTGTCCTACATTAGGATTTCTTCCTGTGTCGTAGGTGCGGTTACAAACATACAATTTCACATACACATGACACCCGGACCCGGAACAACAATTTGTGGATCACACAAAGAGTTGTTCCGTGCGGGCATCGAACCCGCGACACGTTGCACGGACGCCAGTTGCCCAGCCACCGCACCAACCGTGCAGTCAAAATCAAAGCTTCATACAAAAACGCGCTCTCTTGTTTTAGACCAGAAGCAGAAAGTATGTATGAAGCTTATCTTCGAATTCTTCTCACAAGAAGGAACACAATACGTATGTCAGCGTTGTCTAAACAGTTATGGAAGAACATGCGCCTTTGGTAAAGTGACCCAATGTCACTTTACTTGCTAGGATTCGAAACCCCACCCTCATGCTCTCATGCACAGCGGACACTTCCGGACCGCAAAGTCTTCACAAAAAAATATATAATATTAAAAGTATTGTAAAATATAAATAACAATGAACAATGTTCTATAGTAATAAACATCCCAATGAACATTCACTAAAATATTCAATAAACTGAAATCGACAATCGACAACGTCGTTAGCTTTTCAGATTCCATTTAAGGCATGCACTTTCTCGTACATTTTCTATCGCGTTGAATGCTTGACATCATAACCTTTGCTCTGCTTTAGGGCTGTCGCACGAATATTAGGTATATGAATAAAATTGTTATTGACAAAGTCTTGGTACAAAAATATGCAAGGGGTTATACTTATGGGGTTTAAAATATTTAACAATTTTTAGGTAGGTTAGCATCACAACTATTGTTAATGAGGTATTTAGTTTGATTGTCTTGCAGAGTTAAGTAGGTTTAGTTTAGATATTGAGCTTGGCATTGTGACAAATGGCTTCTCTATTATTATGGGTTTTCATAGTAATTAGCGAGGTAATATTAGGTATATCTATCACTTCCTTTAGGATAAACAATACAATGTTTTAAATGTTAAAGAATGCTATTTAAAACAATCTAAGGCTAGAACATACCACCATCGTCGTCATCTTATCAGTGACAAAGTCACGAGATATCCATGACTGAACATATGCCTCCTCCAACAGCTTTCAGATCGGCTGGTGTAGTAATGTAATATAAATAAAATACCCTAATCCCCCAATTCTTACAATCTTAACAAACCTGTATTCCCTGTGTGGCGAGTATCTGATAGGAATGCTCGTTTCCAATCTATCACATAAAAAAACATTATTCGCTGATGTTGGAGTGGCAACCCTACAACACGATCGTGTAGCGAGATGTTCGCACTTGGTTCAAAATGGCCGCCGAGATAAGATACAGAGTGTTAAGTGAAAAATATTCGTTCAGCGACATCTACATTTTATGACATTTATTAAGGTTTATTATTTTTCTAACCGTGTTTTCGGATAACCAAGCCATGGCGTTGTGTATGTACAAAATTCTTCAATATTTCACTAACTTTTCAGCGTTTCTTTAAGACGTTATTTTACGTTATTAATTTTATTTCGATTTATATCAATAAGGACGTTTTGGGTTCACTGCCAAATGATCGTGCAAAGTGCTAATTTAGATTTTATCGAAAAAACTAAGCGTTGCGAGTTATGATTGGTATTTAACAATAGCCAAGTATTGGAAAGCCATGCTTCTGCACGAATAGGTCGGCTCGACGTGATACTTAATGTGACCGTGATACCACGGTCAACCAGAAAACCGGCGTGAAACAACCACACCGTTGTGTTTCGCCGTGTAATTGAAGTCACCGGAGGCCCAATCCTTCCCCTCCTCCAATTCCTCCTCATTCCCAAAATCTCCATGTCCTTAATCCCCAAAAGGTCGGCAACGCACTCGTAACTTCTCCGTCGTTGCAGGTGTCCATGGGCAGCGTGATTGGTTACCATCAGGTAACGAGTTTGCTCGTTTGCCGACCTATCATATAAAAAAATAGCCTCGTCACTAGTGAGTGCACCGTAGGTCTTTTACAAATTAGCCAGGGTTGCAGGGTAAGCGCAATGAGGCACTGCGACCTCGGTCCAAAGGAGGAGAAGGAACGGGGAGGTTTTTAGTCAGTAAGAGTTTGACACGATCTCCTACCCGGCCCTGGGCGGGAGAAGTCATTTGATAATTTTCCCTTCATTGCGTTTACGCGGGGTAACCCCATTATCAGCCTATAGGGCTCTGTCTGTGGTGCTCTATTGGCTCTTTGAGGCGCGCGTGGAACGTTACGCGCCGTACGCTCTGGTCTGGTTCCAGTGGTTGGGCGGCGAGATACCTTTACTCGCCGTCCTTGAAGAAAAAAAGGCTAAGTCTACAATTACGTATTAAATTTATTAGTGTACACTTTAGGTAAAATTATTCTAATAATAATAATATTAATTGGCCGACTTAATATACCTACCGTAGTATTCTATATTTTATGCGTATTTTGTATACATAATTATAATCTTAATTACCCGATGGTGTCATATGAAGCTGCTACACAATGTTACAGATATTACTTACTGGTTTAAAATGTTTATTATATTTTAAGAGAGAACTGAGTGTACAATTTGTAGGCATTAGTTTTTTTTTGCATATTGGGGTAATTATACAAGGAGTAAATATAAATTTGGGAGTTTTTTTTTTTAATATGTATGACCGTTATTATTTTAAAACTAACCTTTTTTATTAACGACGCTTAAGGTTGAGTGTTCAATCAACAATCAATTTTTTCATATTAAATTGATACTAGCTTCTGACCTCGGCTTTTATCGCCAATAAAAGTAATGTGTCCCGTGATTTAAAAAACATTTAAGAAACCGTTTAAAGCGATATCGCGACTAAAATACGCAAATCAATTATAGCCTACACCTCTTAGGAACATTGTAGTTAGATGTCTATCAGTGACATATTTTGGAGATCCGACTAGCGGTCCAAAAGATTAAAAGACGAGACGAGAGCAAGAAAAAAGACGATGCCAGCATTTTGTGGATAAGGGTTTCGGATATTTAAGGATTGGGGAGGATGGATGGGGGGAGGGGAAAGATTGGGTCTTCGGTAACCTCACTCACAAGGCGAAACACAACGCTGTGGTTGTTTTACGTCGGTGTTCTATGAGGCCCTGGGTATCACTCTGGTCGAGCCGACCCATTCGAAATAGTTACTCGCAAGACAATCAAGGGTGAATCCAAGTAGGAACAACCTCACATTTTTGGGAAACCTTGTAAAAGGTTAAATCTCATTTCCGCTTATTTAACGAAAACCTCGTCACTGAAGTTTTTCTGTTTACCTCTTAAGAGAACTGAAAGTTATTGAAAATACATTTGTTTTGAACTAATTTTATTACTTACACATATAGATGACATAATTAAAACAACAGATTAATAATATACAAAATTATTTGCTCATGCGAAACTAGAAAAATGCGTCTTATATTTTAATGAAAATAATATGCATATAATTTTTAAAACTATAGGTATTATGATAATTGAACTAGCTTTACTATAATAGCTTGGTATCATACGTAAAGTACAAAAAAATCTCATTCATCAAGTTACATCCAGACTTCTTAAAGTGAGAAGTTCCAAGACAAGATATTGGTGTCAAGATTGTACATTTTGTAAGAAATGTTGTGTCAAAATGTGAACGCGTCAAAACTCCCGAAATGCTCGACCAATCTTAGTCTAATATTAAAAGTAGATAGATGATAAAAATTTAAGGTCGATGGTAAATGAAGAGTTCTTTGGGGAGGGTTCCGTTCAGCGAACTCTTGTGCCACAGTTTTTTTTTGTTTTTTTTTTTTTATAAAAACGTTGCCCCACTTTCGGATTTTCTCATGTGTTGTGGGTGCGTTTACAAACATACAATGTCACATACACATGACACCCAGACCCGAAACAACAATTTGTGGATCACACAAAGTGTTGTCCCGTGCGGGAATCGAACCCGCGACACGTTGCACGGCAGCCAGTTGGCCAGCCACCGCACCAACCGTGCAGTCAAAATACATACATTGTAAAGATGATAATAATAAATATTATTTGAATCAATAAATTTACTAATTCTGAACAAACTGTTGTTCAAGTTTCGCATGAACGAAATAAGGTTGTGTTTAATTATCTATTCAACATGTTGGAGAAGACCGATCTCACAGCTTTGTACGCATCATCTGCGAAGTTCTTCGCTGAATCTACGCCTTTGGACACTACCCTCTGAATGTCGTCTCCAACTTCTGTAGGACAAAAGAAATTCAATCATATCTCTTAATAATTAAAGATATAATTCAATTAGATATAATTTTGATTTTTTTATTTACATTCATAATTAAATGTAGTTGAACATCCACCGTTCTGTGTGCAGAGTAGAACCGATTTTTTAGCGCCCCTCTTCTTAAGAGGTGTGTTAAGTGTTGGCTAAGGGACTACTCATGATATAAAATCGGACAGCAACACTATTTGATAAATGTTATCCTTTAAATTGGACGTCTTTACCCCATCTGCTCTTAGAGGAGATTATGGCTAAGCCTACTTTTATAAAGAAGGCTATATGGGCCTTCTTTAAGCTTTAAACGAAAAAGTCATTTATTGACTTTTTTAAATTAAAAAGGCTCACAATATTGTAATCAAAATTTTGTAGACCTTTAGAGAAAAAATACTACCTACTTGATACTCATAATTTACTGAGTAATGAAAAATCTAACTTACTTATAACAGGATCAAAAATAGTGTCCAAAACACCTTTTGGTGGAGTCGGAGGACTAGTGACAGGTGTAGTTGTATTTAGTTCTATATAGAAAGCTCTCTTATAGTTAGGGATTAGTTTTGGTTTGACTTCATCACTGTCTTTTGTGACTTTTTCATATTCATATTTTTTATTTGTTGCCTCATATTTGTCTGCCGTAGTAATTTTAGTTAATTTGGAAGGTACTGGTGGAGTGTAAGCTGTACTTGATGTAGATGTTTCTTCTTTTCTCGTTTCTTCCTTTAATGTTACATCACTATGTGTATCTTCTGCTGTTTTATTTATTGTTGCTGTGGACTTTATTTCAATGTCATCTTCTTGTTTTGTATGAAATTCATTTTGTAGCTTAGGTTGTCCTCTTAAAACTACATCTTCATCACTGTTTTTTGATTCTTTTGTCGTATTTTCTTGTCTAGCCGTGAATACTGATGTCGAATTATCCGTTGTAAATATGTTTTGTTTACGTAGATCCTTTGTAATTAATTCTGGCGCAGGCGTGTTCTGCACAGGTTGTTCTTGTGCTGTTGAATTTAGTGCAATAGATCCCTGTGTAGGTGATTGCTGTGTAACTGGATCTTGTGCAGTAGACTGCTGAACATTTGATGTCTGTGTAGATGAATCCAGTGCAGGTGACTCTGGTGATATGGTAGCATTTTCTTCAGCTTTTGATAGAAGCAATCCATTTTGACAGACCTGAAAATAAATTTTGTTTTTTTCCATAAACCATATTAATTCAAACCAACCAACTTCAAAAAGGAGGAGGTTCTCAATTCGATGCGTATTTTTTATGTATGTACACCAAGTACTCGAAGACGCATGGACCGCATTGCGAAATTATTGATTTTGAACTTTTCTTAATTTTTTAGATTGCGACATATGAAATGATTAAACAACGAATTTAATTTTGCAAAAAGGCCATAGAACGGGACTTTTAAACGTCAAAATTATATATAAAAAAACTCGATGTAGCTGGCATTTCCTATCTGATTAAGGAGAAGACAAACTCTGGTATAGGTCGGAGAAAGCAGGCGGATCACCTGATGGTAAGGGATCGGCGACTTTGTGGGTTTGGGGACTGGGAGTGAATGATACGGTTGACACAGAAAACAATGAAAGTATTTTAAAAGAAAAAAAAAATGTTACTGAGAAATACCATTTTGATTAGAAATATGATGCCAAGGCATTTTGTTATTTTTATGTGATCATAAATCAAATTATATCGCTTGGTGTTAAGAAACAGGCTAAATTCAAAGGGAGAACATCACAAGTATTAGTATTTTTATTTATAGAGGGAAAAAAACGTTCTTTACGAATGCTGACAAAATTCCAGTATTTAAGTGGGAGCCATGCTTTGGTACGAATGTGTTGACACCACGGCCTCACAGAAAACTAGCGTGAAACAACCACATTTTTCGTCATGTAAGTGACGTTACCGCTTATGTTGCAAGTGTCCATGGGCGGCACTGAATGCTTACCATCAGGTAAACCGACTGCTCGTTGGCTGAGCCATCAATAGAAAAAAGTAAATAACTACCGAGAGTTTACTTGAACAAGGAGCTGATTTGAATTATCTGCTGATTTGTCTTCTAAACACTATTCGTTACAAACAACGTTTTTCCCTCTGTTCCTCTCACTAATACGTTTTTGTTAATATCCAAAATTACTTACCAAAATTATAAAAACACACACGTAACCACACTGCATTTTGTTTCAAATATGTTGCGTACTGGTCGATTATGATGTGTGTTTTTTTTTCAATTTGTTCAACTAAGAGCTTGTTCACATTTGGTCGGATCTATCATTTTACTAAATGTCTTGTTAGGCTTGGCTGTTATCAGTTTGTAGGTCCGATAAAGTGTTATATATTTCAGCCTTATTTGCGATTTGCACTTTAACTTTCGTTAGAATTTGGTATTACCCAATGAACAAAACACTCATAATTGAAATTCCTAGACGTGTACCTATAAATGTACCCTTAAATATTAGCTTCATCATCAGCCGGAAGACTTCCATTACTTCACAAAGGCCTTCCTCTTATCGACGTCCACCGCGTCGTCCTTGTCGCCACCTCTATCCTGCGACTCTGACGATGTCATCGGTCCATCTAGTTGGAGACCTGTCCATATTACGCTAGTATTAGCTCATATCTATCATCACTTCATAGTATAAAATAAAATCGCTTCCTCCTATCGTTTGAAATAATAACTTTGCCGATAAACTCTAAAGTTAAATCTCATACACCGTTTTAAGACTCAACTTTTAAAATTTTATTTGTTCATTCCAATTATTGTTTTGTGACGGCCTAGATTGGTTTTTAATTTTTATTCCTTGTTTAAATCTCTACAGTACCAAAAATGTATTGAAATATAAGAGTAAGTATGGATCGATCTGCTAAAAATATCGTTTAAATGTGAACATTGCCTTATATTTAACGTTGAAAAGGAATTGGTCATAGCCGTTAGCTATTCAATAATGCGTAACGCTTACATCTTAAATCGATGTGATTTTTATATTCTTTGATTATTTTGAGTAACGTGATCGTGTAAATAAAATACCTGTATTATACCATGAAAGATTTTGTACAGTTCAGTCGCAGTGTGAAGAATTTTATTCTTGTTGTAATTATATGTATATAAGTAGTTATTGTGAGTCTGAAATGGTGTGTAGTGTATTTTATGATTTTTTTGTATGACGTGCCGATGCATATTTTGCATATTAAAAGAACTGTTCACCGTATGAGATAGCGGTGTACATAAAGTTACTAGTGTAAAATGGAATTTCATTCCCACTACCATACCAGGATGACCTCAGTTGGATTTACAATCTTTAAGAAGCAATCCGCCTTGAGCAAGCGTGGTGATGATGCTCAAACCTTCTCCTTGTGGGAAGAGGCCTTTGCTCAGCAGTGGGCACATAGACTGATGATGTATGTGATGTGTGATGAAGAAGCAAAACTTTTTCCCTCTTGTCCAATAACAAAAACAGTAATAACTCGTGTCTAGCGGTCTCCAAATTCCTTCATTCCATTTTCGAAAGAGACACAAAAACAAAAGCTGAAATAGTTCGCTATCAATATAATAACACAATAGCTATACGTCAGGCCTTTGTGCCGCGGCGGCAAAAGGCGCGAATTGGGAGTCGAACCCATCGATTCCCAACTAATATTTTACACATTCATGTTGAAACAAAAACGTATAGAGCGCTCGATACCACTGCACCTTGGATGAACTTGGTAACTGTATTAAAATATGTATTTATAATTGGAGTTTATTTTATTTAAGTTACCTATTTCAAGTGTGTGGTTGCCTAGTAGTCGTTTTCACGGTGGCTTATGGCTGTTCGGGGTCTAGCCTGTTAATTTTTGTTGGGTTTTTGTGTGTAAGTCTTTTGTATGCACGCGTATGAATACTTGAAGTGCTTGACCAAGCCTCGTCTGATGTTCAAAGTGGATAGATGATATGATTAAGATCTCTGAGAAGCAAGCACAATCATGTACTGCGTCCCCGACCTGGAGCAGGAGCAATAATGAGGTTGTGTTTTGTTCGTAAGAGTCTGCAACTCCCTCTCGCAACGCATAGGTTGGGAGAAGTCATTTGATAAATTTTCTATTTTAACCAGAAGGCGTTATCGCGCTTAAAACAGAAGCAACTAAAACCACTCTTTACTATAGTAGTATGAAATTTCTACGATTAGTCAATTTTGGCACGTGGCATGTCGTGACGTATTTACGAGTATCAATTTTAATTTCATTATGCCGTCTTGTGTTATTACTACGAGTAAAAATGCGGCTGGAAATACCAAAAAAGTGGATAAGATTACATTTCATCTGCAAGCATCGACTGCAATAGTATATTTAATTAATTATTGAATTTTTTTAATCGATTTATTTTTCTATGAAAATTATGCGGCCATTTTGTGAGTGTTGTCATTTTTGGTGAAAATTTTACCCACTTATTTATTTTTTGTGGGTTATATTTCTGTCCATTATCTAACAAAAAAATTTAAAATCATACAAAAGGCACGGCTAGATTCATTTTGGAAACCATCTAGCCAGAGCATAGTTTGCTCAATTTACTTTGAAGAGATATATGTATTTATGACAAAGGTGGTTTGAACAGCATTTCCTACTAAGATATATCTATAGGTATACTAATTATAATGCTGAAGAGTTTGTTTGCTTGAATTCGCTAATCTCAGGAACTAAGTAAAGTAAGTAGACTTCTAATCTTTAGTTCCGAGTCTAAAGACAATACATATTATAAAAAACTAAACCAGCAAAAGCTAAACCTTCGCACTTATTGAAGCTTTGTTTTATTTGTTGTGTATAGTAGGTGTAACTAAAATTAACATTAACATTTATAGTAAGTTTACGTATTTTTGTTGGGTTTACCCAACAAAATATATCTTACCCTCCTGTTGTAAAATTACCCCAAACCAAGGGAATTGTTCCACTGTTGGCAACACTACGCGGGTGGGAAGTGCGGCTGGCGGGGGGATCGACGTATTGTTTTTGGACACATTTGACGACATGTAATTATAAGTGAACGCGGCTTCTGGTTTGTTCTGTATTCTGAGTATTTTAAGTAAACGTAAATAAACCATACCTTTATTATTGATCGATCGAATTTGAATGAGAATTTTTGCGCGATTATAAACTCTAAGCGCAACTCGCACTTAAAAAATCCCCAAAGAAACCTAACAAACATCATCTCAGCTTAAGAATAAAATTGCTGATGAAAATGTTGATTTAAAATAAAGTATAATTTTGTTGGGACTGCGTTTTGCTCGCCACCAACGTCTGCACCGCGCCGCTGCGGCCGCTCAAATGTAAATTAAATGATGAATAGATACGCACACGAATGCGCTTTGCAATGTACCCACAAAAAAATAACATTCGACCATTAATTCGAGATGTAGCTGTGACTGTTGTTTACTCCGCTTTTTCGGAGTACGCTTTACTTAATGTATTTGGTTCATCGTGATTTATAGCTTTGTTGTTAATTTTAATAATTATATTTATCATATTATAATTATAATAAATGTGGGAGAGCCATGTTTCGGCACGGATTTGCTTGTCTTTCTCCATCGGAATCTACACTTTGGAGCTAGCAAAAAGCTTCACTAAGAGGACTGACTGAAAGACTGACCCTTTTTATCTTTAAAATTTAGTTTGACGTTCAAAAGTGCCTGTGAGGTCTACTTCAAATAAATCATTTTGACTTTTGAATTGGCATGCTCGACCTGAGTGATACCACGGCCTCACAGAAAACCGATACGAAACACAAAGGAGTTACGAGTGCGATTTAGGGATTGGGGTATGATAAGGTGAGGGGAAAGATTGGAACTTTCTTAAGCTTACTAACACGGCGGAATACGACGCTAAGGTTATTTCACGCTGCTTTTCTGTGAGGCCGTGGTATCACTTCGGTCGTAACGACCCATTCGTGCCGAAGCATGACTCTCCCACACTTCGGTAATTGAGTTTCGAAAAATGAAAAGTGATTTCGAACATCGAAAGAATCTCGGAAATATTCTATATTCATTTTTTTTACAACTGAGCAAGCTAGACAATGAAACAACAAATACCCATTTTAAATGATATATTATTATGTAAGATTTTAATATGGCTGCTGACGGTACGCACCCACATCAACGCACACGTCACACTGATGTAATCCAACGGTTTATATGTATTTATTGTACACCTGCTTCGAAACGGACGGGTTTTTTTGCTGTCCGTACCTACAGTACACCTTTTGTTCGAAATTTTTAGAAGCAGCATAGATTTGTTATTTCGATATATTATTTGAATTCTACCTTACATTCTATTTTTGGGATAGGACGGAAAATATCACTGTTAACAGGAAGAAGATAACAATCGGCACTGCCCATGGATACCAGCAGCACAAAAGGAGTTACAAGCGCGTTGTGTGGCTTTTTGACAATTAGGCATTTTGATAAGAAGTGGATATGGCGATTGAGGAAGGTAGGAGGGAGCATTGGGATCGGTAACCTCATTTGCATGACGAAACATAAGACAAGCAAACATGCTGACACTATACCTTAAAAAAAATCTTTTGACGTTCAAAAGTGCCTGTAAGGGTCTAATTGGAATAAATGATTTTTGACTTGACTTTTGACTTTGACTTTGACATGCAAACATGATACAACGGTATCACGTCGATTCTCTGAAAAGCCGTGGTACACATAATAATAAATTGACTGCACGGTTGGTGCGGTGGCTGGGCAACTGGCTGCCGTGCAACCTGTCGCGGGTTCGATTACGCACGGAACAACTCTTTGTGTGATCCACAAATTGTTGTTCCGGGTCTGGGTGTCATGTGTATGTAAAATTGTATGTTTGTAACCGCATCCACGACACAGGAGAAAATCCTAATGTGGAGAAACTTTTTTAAAAAAAATAAAATGTTAGATGAGCAATTTAATCAATGTGAGTATATTTAATCTGTTCTGTAAATGTTCATTATTAAAATCTATGCAGAAGGATGTTGAGAGTTCTTTATGTAGTTTGTATTCTAAGCAATCAGCGCCATCCATGGACAATTACATATGTTAAAACCAAAAGACTCTTACTCGAACTCTTACTCGAAGTGCGTTGCCGGATTCTTGTGGGTTATTGGGAAGATAAGGATAGGGGCTTTGAGGATTGAAGATAGGAGGGGGGGGGGGAGAAGGATTGAGCCCCCGATAACCTCACTCACACGGCGAAACACAACGTAATATTAAAATCAATGTTCTTTTTTTCGTATAGGTATACTTTCCTTTCATTTGAACAAAATATTTTAAGGATCTGTTCCTCAATCATTATAATATATATCATCATTATATTAGTATTAGTGAAATATATACTACGGTAAGTGTACTTACTAAAAATTAAAGGATTCGAACCTATTAGATTGAACGGAAACCCATAAAATAAATCTCCACACCCAGTGAATGTGAGTGTACATTGAGTTTTTCCACAAACCATTCTCATCAACTGTATGGATTGGAAAAGTCCCTCTACGGAGTGACATGGAAAGGGCGTTACCACGGAATCGATGAGTCAGTGGGTTCGAATCCGCACTGTCTAATAAAATGGATACGCTTACCAAG